GGCCATTTGGCGTTGCTTTTGGGCGCGGTACAAACGGCAATGCCCTAAACATCCTATTTTTCAATTGGAACAAGAAGGCGAGGTGAAGCTGGAAAATACATGTGCTGTTCTGTACCATGGAGACGAAGGCCGCGGCCGAAAGAAAAAGCCATTCTATGTATCGAGCTTTTCCAGCGTATTAGGGCATGGGACCTCTGCCAGCAAGAAGAAGCGAAGGCCGTGCTATCTGAAACAGAAGCTCAACTACAGATTACCTTCCTTGGTGACTTGGTTTCTTAGCTCAGCTTTGCCAAAAAGCCAGTATGGGAAAAACGAAACAACTTTCCGGGCCTTGCTGAGCTTTGCCGCGGAGGATGCGTATGAAATGATCGTCACTGGCAGGACTTGCCCACGCCAGGTGAAGCATCACATGGTGGTGATCAATGTTACTGGGGATTGGCCGTGGCTCATGAAATGTGGCCGCATGGTTCGAGGGTTCACCCGAGGCCCCAAGAACACTTCCTTTGACCCCAACACAGCAGCTGGAATTTGCCACATGTGTCTTGCTGGCACAAAGGACCTGCCCTTCGAGGAACTGGGTGAGGAAGACCCGCAGTGGCTGCCCACTTGCCACACGGAAACCTTCTACAACATCAAGCCTGAGTTCTTCAATTGGCCTATTCAGGATGAATCCAGGGAAGCCGAGTTCTTTGCAGTAGACCTTTGGCACAGCTGGCACCTGGGTCTTGCGAAGGTTTTCTTGGGGTCAGTTTTGGCTTTGATGCTCCCGTTTTGCCCTGGAAACAAGGCCGAGGCAAGGTACGAAACTATGACTGAACAATACTGCTGTTTTGCAAGGGGACGAAGAGGCACGCCTATTTGACAAAGATTACGGAAGACACGATCACGTGGCAAAAGAAAACAGACTTCCCTTTGGGTCATTGGCCGAAAGGATCCGTCTCCACCCACTTATTGGAATGGTTCATCAGCTGGTTTGAAGAGTTTCAGCCACCTGACCCAATGCTTCGCAAGTCCTACAAGGCCGCTTCAGCAATGAGCCGTTGCCTGAATATGCTATACAGCATGGACGTTTGGCTGCCAGCCAAAGAGGCAACGGAAATTGCAAGACTCGGACTGAGATTTTTGCACTTGTACCGATCGCTTGCGGAGGACGCTTTCCGGGAACGAAGAGCATTGTACGCTTTGACCCCAAAAGCTCATATGATCCACCACTGGTTCCTCACTGGCATGCTCATTCCAGCAAAAACTGCCCCCCACATCCTGAAATGATTGATCTTTGGGTGTCAGATTCAAGAGGATTTTATTGGAAGACCAAGCAGAATGGCGAGACGCGTATCACCACGGCAAACAAACGTAAGAGTTGCACAAAGGTACCTTCGGGCGGCTTATGCTGCTTGGGTCTCTGAGGGGTACTTATCATAGTGTATAATGGGCAAAATGGTCGCCATCTTTGTCTCCACTGTTTTGCATTTTCAATTATGATGGTCCCCCCCCCAAAAAAAAAAACGGCAACCGATGCCCTGTCGAGTGCCCCGCGGGACGTGGATCTCGTGGATGGTGGAGGCCATCGCGGGAAAAGGGCTTCGAGGCGCACGCTGGGTTCTGGGGTTTTGGCGGGGTAAACCGAAAACCTGGTTTTCAATGGAAAAACCTGACTATTTTTGGCAACCCACAAAAATGTAGGATGTTGGAGTACCAGGTCTATCTAATCTATCTATCTAACTATCTCTCTCTAATTATCTATTTATCTATCTATTTCTCTATATATCTAACTCTCTCTCTCTATTTTTTATCAGCCCACATTAATTTCTAGCCGGGGGAGCACGCCAGCATCCACCCTTTTTCGCACCACACATGCACACACACACAGACACACAGAAGACATGTTCTTTGCTTGTGGTGTTTATATCATCTTGTTCATCCTAGCACATAGAAAGAAGACATATCTGATTCATCGTCGTTTGCCCAATTGGGCCACACCCACACACACGCTCTACACACGCACAGACACATACAAGAGATTGGCTTTGCTTGTGGTGTTTGTCTCAGCATATTGAAAGAAGACGTATACGATTTTTCATTGTTTGCCCAACTGGGCCCACAGACACACACACACACACACACGCTCAACGCAGACACACGGTTCAGAAGAATGCGCATGACACACATAGGCGAAGGTGTTTATTGGTGGTATTTGTTTCAGCTTGCAAGCATACACGCAAGAAGAAGCTTATGAATTGTCATCGCTAGCCTAACTCGTTGGTCTCCTTGAATCCGCTCGCGCCTCCGCGGTTGTGCCATGGCAAGTGCGACTCGGTTTGAAGAGCTACTTTCTTACCTCGTCTTACACGCTGCAGACTTGCAGCGACTGCGCTGTCAAAGTTTGCGGGAGCTACTGCGAACTGGCGAGGCACGGCCAGGACGCGCGGCGATCCCTGAAAGAGCAGCTTGGTATCGCTACTTGCAGCGACAGGGGCATACGTTCACAGATGCTCAGCAGGAAGCGCTACGTGCCCGAGAAGCTGTGTTACGCGCGCCCGCAGGCGCCGAGCGCTTGGCGGCTCAGCCGGCGCTCGTGCAGCATTTTTTTAGGTTTCTGGCTTTGCTAGAGCGGCGGTTCGAAGAGTTCGCTGCGCTGCGCAAGCCATCCTTGAAAGCCATCTTCGATGTCTCTGCTGCCAGCAGTGATGCAGAGATGACGTTCGGCAAGAACTTCATCAACCGGAGCTTTCCCAAGCTATCACAGGAGCAGAAAGATGTCTTGCTGGAGCGGGAAGCTACGCTATGCGAGCCTGCGGACGCGGAGCATTGGGCGGCTCAGCCGGCGCTTCAGCGGCAGCTGGACAGGTTCGTGGCCTTGCTAGATTGGCGATTCGAAGACCTGGCCGCACTGCGCAAGGTATCCCTCAAAGCAATTTTTAATGTCAATGCTGCGAACAGTGATACTGAGCTAAAATTTGGTCTAAATTTTATGAGCCGGCGATTCCCTAAGCTGTCGCAACAGCAGAAAGACGTGTTGCTGGAGTGGGAGGCCATGCTCTGCGAGCTCGCAGACGCGGAGCGCTTGGCGGCTCAGCCGGCGCTTCAGCGGCAACTGGATAGGCTCGTGGCCTTGCTAGAGCGGCGGTTCGAAGAGTTTGCGGCGCTGCGCAAGGTATCCCTCAAAGCCATTTTTAGCGTCAGTGCTGCGAACAGTGATTCTGAGCTTCAGTTTGGTCAAAATTTTATGCGCCGGTGTTTTCCCAAGCTGTCGCAACAGCAGAAAGACGTGTTGCTGGAGTGGGAGGCCATGCTCTGCGAGCCCGCGGAGGCAGAGCGCTTGGCGGCTCAGCCGGCGCTTCAGCGGCAACTGGATAGGTTCGTGGCCTTGCTAGAGCGGCGGTTCGAAGAGTTTGCGGCGCTGCGCAAGGTATCCCTCAAAGCCATTTTTAGCGCCAGTGCTGCGAACAGTGATTCTGAGCTTCAGTTTGGTCAAAATTTTACGCGCCGGTGTTTTCCCAAGCTGTCGCAACAGCAGAAAGACGTGTTGCTGGAGTGGGAGGCCATGCTCTGCGAGCTCGCAGACTTGGCGGCTCAGCCGGCGCTTCAGCGGCAACTGGATAGGCTCGTGGCCTTGCTAGAGCGGCGGTTCGAAGAGTTTGCGGCGCTGCGCAAGGTATCCCTCAAAGCCATTTTTAGTGTCAGTGCTGCGAACAGTGATTCTGAGCTTCAGTTTGGTCAAAATTTTATGCGCCGGTGTTTTCCCAAGCTGTCGCAACAGCAGAAAGACGTGTTGCTGGAGTGGGAGGCCATGCTCTGCGAGCCCGCAGACGCAGAGCGCTTGGCGGCTCAGCCGGCGCTTCAGCGACAACTGGATAGGCTCGTGGCCTTGCTAGGGGCCTATCTCTCTTGCTATCTCTCGGTCTATTCTATCTATCTATCTCCCTTTGATCTATCAATCTATCTATCTACCTCTCTTTTTCTCTATCTATCTCTCTCTTTTAAACTAACTATCAATATATCTATCTCTCTATCTATCTATCTATCTCTCTCTCTCTCTCCCTCTTTATCTCTCTATCTCTCTATCTATCTATCTATCTATCTATCTATCTATCTCTCTATGCGTACCTAAACTTGCGAAAGTGCTGCGCCTGCCACGACATCTGGACTTGACCTTGCGAAAGTGCTGCCCCTGCCACGAAATATGCACTTGACCTTGCGAAAGTGCTGCCCCTGCCACGAAATATGTACTTGACCTTGCGAAAGTGCTGCGCCTGCCACGACATCTGTAATTGACCTTGCCAAAGTGCTGCCCCTGCCACGAAATCTGCACTTGACCTTGCGAACGTGCTGCACCTGCCACGAAGTCTATACTTGACCTTACGAAAGTGCTGCGCCTGCCACGAAATCTGCACCTGGCCTTGCGAAAGTGCTGCGCCTGCCACGCAATTCAACCCTTGGGGAAACTTGACCTTGCAAAAGTGCTGCGCCTGCCACGAAATCTGTACCTCACCTTGCCAAAGTGCTGTGCCTGCCACGCAGTTCCATCCTTGGGGAAACTTGACCTTGCGAAAGTGCTGCGCCTGCCACGGAATCTGCACCTCACCTTGCAAAAGTACTGCGCCTGCCACGGAATTCAAACCTTGCGAAACCTTCGCGTTGCCGTGCCAATGGGCCCGCGCTGCGAACGTGATCCGAGAATGGTCCGACAATGGTCCGACAATGGTCCGACCAGGCGCCGCGAACAGGCTAGCTTTCAGTTCTCCGGACATGCAAATTCACGCACAGGGCCACGCTTTTGGCGCACTTCTATTCTCCCACCACACGCGCGCGCATCTTTTCTCGCGCGCTTATTCCTTCTCTTGTCATCTGTCTCAGGGAGAGCTAGCTTTCAATTAGTTGCCGTAACACGGAAGTTCCTTCTAAACTTCCTTTGACCAAACAAGTAAGGTTCTGCCAAAACAACCAAAAAGGACTCCTCCGGCCGGGGGGGGGGGGAGTTCTCCAAAAAAGCCGCCGTCCTCACACTGAAGCCTCGCAGACTCGAAGTCCCAGTGCCAAGCGAGCCTCGGCGCAAGCTCAGCTCGAGCTTTCTGAAACCCTGGGGTTCAGGTACCACCATTGAAAACATGGGGTCAATACAACCACCATTCTTTACCCTGAAAATTGCCATCATCTAGATTGGGCCGCAAGGCTATTCTTTTCATGGGGGTTGAACCCTAGGGTGAATTTGGGTGAATGGCCTGAAGAAAATACATCGGGGGGGGTGATTCATCAAGGGTTCAGCGGGGGGAAAATCAGTTTGCGATCACGCAAAATCGGAAACTGATGGTGCCAACAGCCTTTCAGATAAAACGCACGAAGGAATGAACCAACCAAACAAGCAAGCAAGCAAGCAAGCAAGCAAGCAAGCAAGCAAGCAAGCAAGCAAGCAAGCAAGCAAGCAAGCAAGCAAGCAAGCAAAGCAAGCAAGCAAGCCAGCCAGCCAGCAAGCAAGCAAGCAAGCAAAGCAAGCAAGCAGCAACACACACACAAACACGCAAACACACAGACACACAGACGCAAGGACCACAGACACACAGACACACAGGCGCACACACAAACACACAAACACACAAACACACAAACACACAAACACACAAACACACAAACACACAAACACACAAACACACAAACACACAAACACACAAACACACAAACACACAAACACACACACAACACACAAACACACACACACACACACAAACACACACACACACACACAAACACACACACACACACACACACACACACACACACACACACACACACACACACACACACACACACACACACACACACACACACACACACACACACACACACACACACACACACACACACACACACACACACACACACACACACACACACACACACGCCCACACACACACACCCACACCCACACACATGCACACATGCACACATGCACACATGCACACACGCACACACGCACACGTGCACACATGCACACATGCACATATGCACATATGCACACATGCACATATGCACATATGCACACATGCATGTATATACATATATATATATGTAACAAAAGCAAATGGGAAAGAAATGGGGGGGGGTTTGGGGGCACGGATTGAAAAGACATCAACAGGAAAGCATGCAATTTGCGGTGTTGACACTCCCAATGGGTGTTGGGTTAGGTACCAACACGCTGCCATTTAGCCCAGGCGCATCCGGTAGCACGAGGAGCCGCGGCTCCGCCAGCCGACCTCGCACCCATCCGGACGCTCTGCCTCGCAGATGGCCTGCGAAGGCACGCGAAGGCGCTGCCAAGGTCTGTTTCTTCAAATGGCCATGGGTCAAAAGCCCGTACCCCCAGTGAACATCCCAATCTCCACTAAAGTAGACTAACATGGCTATTGCCGCTACTCCAAAATGGTACCATTGGTTTTGACCCACAGCCAAATGGAACGGACAATATCCAGTAGTCACGGAACATTAGTCTTGATATACCCTGGCAGCAAATTGGTGAGTACCCAATGGTGTCAACTTTAGTGCTGCAAATAACGGTGAACAATGACTGTTGCTCACACTGCCATCGATGGTGATACAAGGAAGCTCCGGGGGAAGGTTGCAAAGAACCACTTGCCATAGCCCCCTGGACAATGAGAAGACCTCTTGGCAAAAGCAGCAAGCGAGAGAGAGAGAGAGAGAGACACAGAGACGGAGAGAGAGCGAGAGAGATAGAGAGAGAAAGAGAGAGATAGAGAGAGAGGGAGAGAGAGAGAGAGAGACAAAGAGACAAAAAGAGAGGGAGACAGAGAGAGAGAGAGAGAGAGAGAGAGAGACAGAGACGGAGAGAGAGCGAGAGAGATAGAGAGAGAGAGAGAGAGAGAGAGAGCGAGAGCGAGAGACAGAGAAAGAGAAAGGGAAAGGGAAAGAGACGAGGGGAAAAGCCGGTCTGTGACCGTCCTCACTTGGTGGTTTCGAAACCATGGTTTCATTTCGTGGTGCAAACGAATTTCAGCCCATCCCTTGCCATTCCGAAAATGAGACAAATGGCTGACCCCCCGCCTCTGCTTCAAATAGCCCCTGAGCTTTACCCGTCCCAAGGCACCTTGGGCAGAGCCAGCTTGCCAGGCACGTCGTACCAGAAGCCAGCCGCCCAGGAGCCCGCCTAACCCAAGTGACTTGAATCATCTGGGCGCCTCGTTTTTTGTGGGGGGACGCCTTTTTGGCAGGGGGAAGCCAAGAGGAAACCAGCGGAACATTTGAGACACACCCATCTGTGGTATTCTACAAGGTGTTGCCTTTCAGGCGCACCCCTTAAAGACCAAAAGACATGTTGGGCCACTTTGCAGTTGTTTCCAGATGCTTTGCAGTGTGCCATAAACATATCCTCCGAGCGCGCCACCGAGTGAAATTTATTTGTTGAAGAAATTGCCCTTGTCTCTTAAAAACAGAGGGCCCACTAAAAATGGTGTTCGGGTTTCCTTCCCTTTAAACCAACTCCAAAACGGGATAAAACGGGTACCCTCAAAAAAGACACCCCACGTCTGATTTGTGGAGTCTTCCCTTTGCTGACTGTGGGGGAATTACAGTCACGCTACATTCGCAATCAACTCCAGTCTGGCCGTTGAATGTCTGCTGCGATCCTCAAACGCGCAATTCATTGAACATGTCATGTACCCGGTACAGGCTGCATCTTGCTCATCATGGGGTTATCAGCCTAATAACAAGAAGGGCAACCGGGCAATCTGAAGTGTTTAACCCTTTTGATAACCCCAAAACAGGAATCGGAACATATCGGAACCCCCACCATTGCTGGTTTCCCTTTGGCTTTCCTTAGCCCCAGAAAAGGCAGGTTGCAAACAGAAGCCAGGCGGGCTCTCTGGACAAAACCCCCAACTCCCAGCGCGAAGTTCCTTGACTTCGCCACCTGCCGTTCTGCAGAGAAGAAGGTGCCAATTTTTCGGGTGGAGTTCAACTGGAATCCATACAACAACAGGAAGAGAACCCCGCTTTTTCCACTCTCAGTCTCGCCTTAGCCTCTTCGTGGTGGAACTCCTGGCAAGGTGGAAACATCCGAACATGCTGCTGGGTCAACGGGGGGTGGGGGACACACCCAAAAGATGATGGTGTTGACTGGGCAATTGTCATCTAGACTCAAGCGCAAACGATGTGAACAAACATGTCTGGGATATGTGGAGTTTTGGGGGGCGGACACTTGCAAACACAAGCTCTTGATGATTGAACATGGGCTTTCAGGGCCTGCATAGCAATGCCTAAATCACGCTGAATCTCCCAAGCAGGAGAACGGGGTCAAGATTATAACTGTGGATCAAAAAAAGGTACCCAAAATGGCTTGCCCTATGGACACATGGACGACTTTTCAACCTGCGGTCCAGTTCCCATACCCATATGGACCACAGCCTGTTCCCTCGCTTCCCCCGCGCCTTGAAGTTGAAGTTCATGATGACCCCCTCAGCACCGGCGCCGGGCGGACTGCCCGTTTCCGGCTCGGCGCGAAAGGCGGCCGAAATCGAAATCGTTCGGCCCTTTCGGAAACCGAAGGGAAGTCGGGCGAACAAGGCGAGCATGTGCTTGGGCAGAGAAGGCAACGAGCATGTTTGAACGGAACACAACATGTTGCCCGGCAGTCTTGGGGAAGTACTTATCATCAAGGGATCTCCAAAGCATGATGCCTCATGCGAGCTGTCCATTTTCGGGGATCATTGATTGTCTCACGGTGCCACAATCTGCCCCCCATCCATGCCAGCTATGCGGCTCGCTCTGGCTTCCTTCCGAAGTCGTTGGGCTCGCCTGAGTAGTTGCAGGTGGCCCCGGAAAGCGCGGACTCCCCCAAACCAAAAGATTGGAATCCGCCCAACTCAGGAAACATCCCCGTCTGATGATTGTTCCCTCATGGTTTGCAGTAATGTCCCACGGCCGGGTTTGAGACATTCCGAAATGAGCTTCGCAAGCGCACAATTTAGGCCATATTGACCGACGCCAAGAGCTTCAACAGTTGTGCCGGGAATCACCAGCCTGCACCGGTACGGCAAATCTACCTTCCACCAGTTTTGCAAATCCACAGTGACACTTGAAGGTGTCATCGGAACACGGCTGGAACATGAGGGGCATGCTGGAAGCTCATCTGTGCAGAAAGTGGAGCTTGCAAAAGTCGAACCGTTTCACAAGGCAAACATAGGACACAAGGACAATTTCAAACGAACAATGTGTTTATGTCAGGCTTCTTCGTGTCTACAGTTTGGGAAGGGCATACTGCCAACTGTCATCCAGAGTGAAGAACCGGAGCGCTGCTGTTTGCAAAACCTCCCAAAATTAGGACTCTGTTGGCTCTTGGACTCGCCTCGCACAGCGCTGCACCCAATTCGTCAAGCAGGACAATGAATTGGCTTTGTGTTTTTGGCGCTGGTTCCTCTCTCAACCCGGAAGGGTGCTGTTTGCGCCATTCCCGATTCCACTCCCAAAAGATGCCGAGAAGCCTACGTGCCAGTTGCTGTAGCTGTCTGTGTCTAGCTCGCCGCCGTCCTGCTTGGCAAGAGCACTGGCAAAGTAGCATAAATGAGGTGCCTCCTCTCGGGTGTTGATGAAACAGGAGTGCGCCCCATTCTGCTGCGCAGAATGGAAGCAAGCAGCTCTTTGTCAACCCAAGAGCTTTGATGGCCCGCAAGGCAACCATCTTTAGGGCTACGGGGTTGGCGCTTTGTGACGAGTACGGAGCTATGGAGCGAAACGGCGCCATCAGCTTCATGCATGAAATGGGGCCAGGGGGCATGGGTGAGCTGTCCCAAATCACGAGGTGCAAAACTGGAATCTCTCTGGAGGCTTCCTTTCTAAGGGTCGCCTTCGTTTTACAGGGTGTTAGCCCCTATTCCACCCTAATACATGTGAGTATCAGGTGTCCTTTTGGGCAAACAGGTCGCCCTGGAAGAATGCTGAAAACCAAAAAAAAGGGCAACCAGCGCCATCCATGGAGCTACTAGTACCCAAAATGGGTGGCTTCCACTAGTTTCCCTTTAAACCTCAGTAGGAAGTACTGCCAACACGACACGCCCAACCTATTTTCTACACCCAAACGGACATGGCCTGGATCCGAACCCCGTCTCTCCATCCAGCTCCAGCTCGCCGAGTGGGCGCGCCGCCGCAGGCCCAGCCAGCAGAAGTGGCTGCCACCTGAGCTAGCCGAAACCCTCGCGCGGCGGGCTCTGCGCGGCTTCCTCGTGTTGCTCGTGGTTCCCGGAGAACTCAACTCCTCCCGTTTGTTTGATGTGCGTTGTTTGCTTTGTTTCAAAAATATGTGGAACGAAGGCCGGCAGAGTCTACCAAACGAGATGGGTGCACTTCCGTGCTTGTCTCAGAAGGGCATGTCAAAACACCTGGTTTTGTCAAGTACTTTGCCAAATTTCCCTTGATGGAAGCTTGTCGCACACGCGCGATTGTCGAAATCATAGTGTTTGAGGGCATGATGCAAAACACATCTGATGACCATGACTCCTTCAAAGCAAGCCTCGCCGTTGCATGCCTCTTGACTGCAAATCCTATACAAGTTTACATGCCTTGCAGGGTGAGCTGCGCTTTCACAAATATGCTGCCGGTACCTTGATCTCCCAGGCCCTTGGGCACCCCTGTACAGCTGCGGAGCGTCAAAGTTTCAAGTTGGCCAAGCATCAAGCTGAGCTGAACCAGCTCACCTGTGCCTGGCGTCAAACATTCGTCCAAGCGGCACAGCTTCTGCACAAACCTGAGCGAGTGACCAAATGAATCTACCCAAACTTTTTCAAACCATGTAAAGATCAAAAGTTTGCACCCATATTGAGTTGACACTGTCCCTAACTAAACTTCCGTTTATCCGATTTTCATGTGGGGCCCAGTTCGCCTGCAAGCAGAGAGGAGGCGGGCACCATAGCCGTGCTGATGCCAATCAATATTGCTTCACTCAGGAGACTTACTCTGCATAGGATCACGTGCCGTCCACTTGTTCAGTGCCCAGCCCAAGAAACAATACCAAGCGGGACCAAGCTCTTGAGGGACCTGCAAGCGACCTCCGCAGGGGAGGCGTCCTATCTATGCTAACAGCTTACGCTCACTTTCAGCCTCCGCGACTTGTCAACCTGGTAGCGACCCCTTTGCTTGCATGGCCACTCAATGCACCCCTTGCTTGGCCTTTTTCGCGAGGCAAGTGGCCACCTTTCTCCTTGCCTGTGGAGTTTCTCCTACTTTTCCCGGCTCAGTGGGCCAGGCGGCAGGTTCTCCTCCGCGCTCCTCACAGACACCAGGAAGGCCCCGTGCTCCTCACACCTCGTCGCCGCTGCATCGTAGCCCACGCCGGAGAAGAGCAGCTTGTAGCAGTCCAGGCCCCAGAGCTGAACGAGCGGCCGGAGAGGTCTTATTTCTTTTGGACCCCCACAACGTTGTCCCTTTGAAACCAACCAAAAGAGGGTTCCCACAAAGAAGGCAAGCCCAGGTAGAGAGACAGAGAGAGGAAGAGAGAGAGAGAAAGAGAGGGGAAGATTCTTGGCTTTTTGTTTTCGCGGGCAGGGCCTGTGTCTTTGTGCAGGTGGGAGAGCAGGGCTTTTGCCTTTGTTGAAGGAGAGGGATGGGTGCCCTTTCCGGCAGTACACCTTCCTTACAAGGAGGTGATGACGATGTCCTGACGACTTGGTGGATGAGTATCGACAACCTCTTGCGTAGCGTTGCCACTTGCCTCAGCCACCCAAATACTCCGCCACAGGATTCCGTACAAAATCCGCCGACATTGTTCGGCGTGTCGGATACCTAAGAAAGGATAGAGGATAACCCCCCCTTAGTCCTCCCCCGGGACACGTCAATTACGCAGGGTTTCGTCCCCCCAACCAGGCTCGATTCCCCCTGCCGGCTTTTTGCTGGTTTGGGTTTCCTGCTTGCTTTTGCAGAAAATCTGGAAAACTCAGTGTTTGTGGATGTCCTCTTTGCGAAAACGCTGGAAAAACAGTGTTTTTGTGGGAAATACTGGGGAGCCAAGGGGAAATGCAAGGAAGTGCAAGGAAAAATCTGGAAAAGCTCTGTGTTTTTGGACGTCCGCTTTGCGAAAACGCTGGAAAAAACAGTGTTTTTTTGCGGGACATACTGGGGAGAAAGGGGAAATGCAAGGAAGTGCAAGGAAATGAGGGGAGGAAATAGGAAGTCCACATGTCAGGAAAGCAACGGGAAATGAAAGGGAAACAAAGGGGAACTGAAAGGGACATGATAGTGACAGAAATGAAAACGAGTGCAGGGGGAATGACAGGGAAGCAAAGCGCAATGAAACCAATCGGCACGACGGGAGATGTAGGGAAATGACTCGCAACGAAAGAACGGGACATACATGGAAAATGACACGGGCATACCGAGAAAATGTCAGGGACATGAAGGGGGAGTTGAAAGGAATGGAAGGGACATGACCAGGACATCACGGGAAAAAGGAGAAAGCCAGTAGTGAGATGACAGTTCAGGGTCATGCAGGGGCAGTGCCGGGATATCGAGGCAACTCAGGGGGAACGTGACGCTGCAACGCAGAGAGAGAGAGAGAGAGAGAGAGAGAGAGAGAGAGACAGGGAGAGAGCGGGAGAGAGAGAGACAGAGCGAGACAGAGACAGAGCCAGAGTCAGAGAGAGAAAGAGACAGACAGAGAGAGAGAGAGAAGAGAGAGAGAGAGAGAGAGAGAAAGAGAGAGACAGAGAAAGAGAGACACAGAAAGACGGAGAGAGAGAGAGAGAGAGAGAGAGAGAGAGAGACTAGATCCTCCAGTAGAGAGGGAAGAAAAAGAGAGAGAGAGAGAGAGAGACTAGATCCTCCAGTAGAGAGGGAAGAAAAAGAGAGAGAGAGAGAGAGAGAGAGAGAGAGAGACGGACAGAGAGAGAGAGAGAGAGAGAGAGAGAGAGAGAGAGAGAGAGAGAGAGAGAGAGAGAGAGAGAGATAGAGAGAGACAGAGAGAGACAGAGAGAGGGAGACTCAGGAGAGAGAGTGGGGGGAATGGGGAGGATGGGGAGGATGGGGAGCAGAGGGAGGGACAGAGGACGACAGAACACACGAAAAAGACAAGGGAGAGAGGAAGAAGGAGAAAAGGGGGAGATCAGCTACCATCCAGCAGTTTGGCTTCAAGGCGCAGCAGGACAGCTTCGGGAAGTGGGGTCTGTAAACCATTGCGTAACACACCTCTCCATACGGCGATCAAAATGCCTTGTGGCCCTCGAAGTTGAGAGGCTTGAGCTGAAACCACTCAGAGCCTCAACCTATGAGGTCAATTAAAGCCGCGGCCTCCAAACCTCTCACAAAAGCCAAACTCCTGGGCAACGGCCCGGACAGTTGTTTGAGGGCATCCTGAGCTATTGCCGGCAATTGCATCCGCGATGCGCCTTCCAGCCCGGGCGGCAGGAATCCTGGCGATGCTGGCAAGCGCCACTGCATTGTCACCAACTCGCTGGATATG